GTCACGAAAAAAGACAAAAAAAGGAAAAAAAAAAAAAAGTAATAACTAATACTAGCATGAATAACTTTGTACTTACACCGTTTTGCACTTGTGTAGGTATACTGGAGCTTGTGTAGGTACAGCCAGGAGTGAAATTGCTGGGCTAGAGGGATTGTATGTTTTACAGTCTGATAGTGCCAAATTATCCTGCATAGCAGTTGTACAATGTGCTGTTACATTAGCAATGAAACTATCTTAGTTTTTTGTTTGATACTTGCTTGTGGCCTGTCTCCCTCTTCTGACCATGACAGTGCCTTGTTCATCACTCTGTCTCCAGAGCCTTGCATAGGGTAAACCTCAATAAATGATGAATAAGGAAACTTCATTGTAGACATCCCCCCATTTTGCTCTAAGAATATGGTCAGCTTGCTGCTGAGCCCTGAGCATGCTGTATTACAGTCCTTCTCCTCCCTGGATTAGGAGCCATTTTTGATTCATCCTTTTCCCCCCACTAGTGTAATGGTTGACACAGAGTAAGGCTCAATAAGCGTAAGTTGAAGGGATAAATAAATGACTTTGCAGGCTGTGGCTCATATGTGAAGCCAAATACAAGTTAGAAAGCCGATTAAGGTAAGGGGGCTCAATGGGGAAGTGGGGGTTCTACACGGAAAAGTTGGGAAAGGGAGAAACCAGATAATTGTTGTATAGGGCTGTGCTGGCAGAGAAAATTCTCAAGAGCTGTCCCAGAGAAATATCACCCCATATATGCCCAATAGGACAACAAAGCAGAAGTCTCCGCTGCCTCGCACCACCTTTAGCCTAGTATTTTCTACCAAGTATGTAGGCATTAGGCATGGGTCTTTTGTTAGCTCCAAAATATAAGAAAGCTATAAAAATTAATATTTTGCTAAATATATATAAATGTGGCAATATGTCAACTATTAACAGCAACTCAATTCAACTATATATATTTATAAATTTTATTTAATGTGGAGTGTTGCCATATTTTAATAAGTTTGATATAATACAGGATGAGGACATTAACATTAGAACCTTCAAAGTTCTAAAAAAGTCCTATCTCTACCTAGGTGTTCTCTCAAAGAGAGAATCCCTAGGTTGTCAGGGTTTCATGCTCTTTAATCCTAAATATCCTTGTCTTTGAATGGAAGTTCTCATAAGAAGATTCATCACAGAGTTATAGTAAGGACAAAACAACAACAACAAAATGTACTGTAAAAGGGCTGATTTGTCAAATGCAAAGTAGTATTAGCATGTGATTATTTCCAGTCAGCTCCTGGAGGGCTGAGTGGTTGTTTTATCTATTTCATCTTCCCAGTCAGTACCAACTGGGTGCTCAATTCCAGGGGACACTATTCATGTTATATTTAACAGGAAGAAGTGCCATTCACAGGAAATACAATGTGAATGGTGCCCCTCTGAGCACCATTCACGGAAAATGCAGTGTGAATGGTGCCTCCTGGAGCTGTGCCTTGTTTAGCAAGGGGCTAGAGCTAAGTGCTCAGGAAATGTTTGCTGAGTGAGTGAATGAATGGAATCAAATGTTACTTCTTGCTGGTTTCAACCCCCAGGATAAAAAGGAAAAGTTGTTAAGGGGTGAAGAGAATGGGGGAGGAGGAAAGGCAATCATTAGCTACAAGGCTTCAATGCTTCAATGAGATTGGGGATGGGTGGGTGCGGGTGGTAGTGCGGGGGAGGGGGTTAGAGGGGATACTAAAGCAAGTGTCTTATTCCCAAGGATCCTCCTTAATTTTTCTGAAATATTGCATTGCTCCTATTTCAGCGTGGAATCACCTTGGTGATTTGACAGTCATGGATTTGGCACCCAGAGAATTCTTATGTTGAATCACGTTGTTCATTCATTTTTTAAAAAAGGGGGTGGGGGAGCGCACTTAGCGCCTCCACGTTCTGTGCTTGTGCTGGAGGGAGAGTGGTGAACAGGACAGCAGAGGTCCCCACCTCGCACGGAGAAAACAGACCATTGTATGTATATATATACCCCTCGAAGTGTGAACAATCACCCTCAGGAGGTGGTGTTTAAATTGAAACTAGAAAACTAAGCAGAAGTGAGAGTAAAAATGATACAGACGGGTTAAAGTCAGGAAGCTTGAGTGACATGACCCTTTGAAGCGGGTCTGTCTGGAGCAAAGGAGTGAGGGAGACCAGTGGGCAGGGGCCAGATCGTGCAGGGCCTGTGGAGTTCGGGTTTTATCCTGAGGGCAGTTGAAGGCAGTAAAGAAATTTAAGGATGAAAGTGACATGGTCTAATTTGAATTTTTGAAAATGGAGCGCGGACTGGAGGGCGCAAAAGTAGAGGCAGGGAGACCCGTTAAGAGGCTATTGTGGCGACAGACGATGATGTCTTTAACCTGGGTGGTGCCAGAAGAATTGGAGAGAAGTGGACAATTCCAAAGTGAATTGTCCGAAAAGTCTGGTGACAGAAAAATAGCCCTACCTCAAGTAAAAAGAGAGACCCTGGAGAAGAAGAAAAACAAAAAAAAACCCTTTACTTTGCTCCTGAACCCACTAGGACTCCTCCCTTCCCTTCATCTGGTCGTATCAAATATATGCAGATAGCAAGGGACAAGGGGCGGGGCAGGCGGCCACAAAAATCCGGGAACTTTAACTTCCCCTTTACTTTGCTCCTGAACCCACTAGGACTCCTCCCTTCCCTTCATCTGGTCGTATCAATAGATGCAGATAGCAAGGGACAAGGGGCGGGGCAGGCGGCCACAAAAATCCGGGAACTTTAACTTAAACTGGGTAGACGTCAGCGGAGAGGAGAACAATGAACACAGGAACTTCCGGTTACTCCGGAAGTGGAGGCTTCGCACGCTCCTAAGCTCCTCCTTCGGCGGCGAGCCAGGGTGAAGGGATGGCCGGGCGGGCGGCGCGGCTCGTGCTGCTGGCTGGGGCAGCCGCGCTAGCGAGCGGCTCCCAGGGGGACCGCGAGCCGGTGTACCGCGACTGCGTGCTCAGGTGCGATGAGCGGAACTGCTCGGGGGGCGCACTGAAGCACTTCCGCTCCCGCCAGCCAATCTACATGAGTCTAGCAGGTAAGCCCCACCCCAGGAAGGCCCCGCCCACCAGCCTTGGCCCCGCCCCCTGTGCCCCAAAGGCGCCTTTGCAGTCTGTGAACCTTAGTTTCCCCATGGGGTCCCTTATGAGTGTGAGTGAATGGAGCGTCCCAAAGTGATGAAAACCTCATCAGCCTGTTTTATTTACTTTTTTACTCTATTTTATTTTTATTTAGTCTTTATTACTCTTTACTCTTCATTTCTTAGAAGTTTTTATTTATTCTTTGTTTTCTCAGCCATACGGGTGTTTATTAAATACTTCCTGGGTACATGGCCCTGTAATGACACAAAATCAGACCAGGTTTCTGCCCTTCGGGGTTCACAGTCCTATGGGGACATCAGCCCTCTCAAATACAAGGTAGAGAATGATTTGAGCCATAAAGGACTCTTAGGGCTCAAAGTACTGGATTAGGGATTAAGTACTAGAAGCATTTGGAAGAGGAGGAATCGATTACGGCCTTGAGGTGGTGGGGCCGGGATCATTTTGGAACTTTTTGTGTGAAGGAGGGACTTCCAAATGTATACATAAAATTTGGACCTGTGACCACAGTGGGCAAGGAACTGATATACTGAGCATGTACCATGTGACAGGTGTCACAATAGGTCAGTTTTTGTTACAACCCTTTGAGGTAGTTTCTCTAATCCAATTTTACTGATGGGGAAACTCAGAGAGATTAAGCATCCTGCCCAAGGTCACACAGCCAGTAAGTGATGAGACAGAGTTTCCAGTTCTGGCCTGTGTGACCACAAGCTTGTCCTCTTTACTACCACTTTGCATTCCAGACAGAGGGAACAGAGAAAGTGGAGGTCCTAGGCAGATGTGGGCACATCCAGCAGCTTGTTTACTCGGGGAGCAGGGTGCATGAAAAAGAGTGGTGAATAAATTTGGGAAGGTAATTGGCAGCCTCAAAAGTCAGGCTAGAGGGCCGGCCCGGTGGCGCACTGGATAGTGTGCCGCTTGGGAAGCGCGGCGGCGCTCCCGCCCGAGGGTTCAGATCCCACATACAGACCGGTTCCCGCTCACTGGCTGAGCGAGGCGCGGGAGCAGCACCGAGGGTTGCAATCCCGTTGCCGGTCCCGGTCCGGTACGGGGGCGACACTGAGGGTTGCGATCCATTGCCGGACACGGAAAAAGATAAAAAAGACAAAAAAAAAAAAAAAAAAAAAGTCAGGCTAGAGAATTCGGGCTTCATTTTCATAGGAGAGGGGGAAGACAGCAAGGACTCCTCCCTGGTGAATAAGAGCAAGTCGTGTGTTCAGGAAGTACAGACTTACACCCAGGTTTCCATAGATGAGTCTATCAGATGCCAAGACCCCCATGCTGGGCAAAAGGAGAAGAGAAGAAACATCTCTATTTACTTACTGTGTACCCTCATACCTAACACACACAGACGTACACACACACACCTTTTCCCCTTATGTGTATGTCCTACCATCTCTCATCCGTCCAAGTGGAAAGCTAGAATTCTGAGAGATTTCTTATGATTCTCTCCAACCTGCAGGCCCCTTGGCCTGCACTTGAGCTTGGGCCCCATTCATGCTGTCTCTGAGTTTCACTGTGCCGGGGAGTTCACAAGGCCACATTTGTCTGTTTCAGGCTGGACCTGTCAGGACGACTGTAAGTATGAGTGTATGTGGGTCACTGTTGGCCTCTACCTCCAGGAGGGTCACAAAGTGCCTCAGTTCCATGGCAAGGTGAGTTGGAGGGTTAGGGTGAGTATCCGGTGGTAGGTAGTGTGGTGGGAGTAAGATACTCCCAGTTGGACCACACTTTCCAAGCAATCTGAGTCATGGGTATGTGTTTGGGGCATGCACCTGTTCTCAAAATCTCCTGGTTTTCATATAATCAGATGAGACCAATGTGTCCTACCGCTAGATTTGGAATAACAAGATCTGGGAGGCTTTGGGGTCTTCTTGGAGAGTGATGCTGGACTTCTTAGGGTGGTCAAGATGCCCACCTTGCTACAGGCACCAATTCCCTGACCCACCATGGCATGTTTTTCATTCTCTAGTAGGGGCCTGGATTAATAGTAATACCCCTCAGATTGCCTACTGGGGCACAGTGTGCTGGTGCCTTTTGATCCAATATTATCTTATTCTAGTCTGTTGAAGTTGGCAGGAATTATTCTCCCCAATTTGCCATGGAATAAGCTGAGGCTTAGAGGACTGCGCTCAGTAGTAGAGAGGGATTGGGTCCTGTGTCTTCTCGATGGTAGGTCTGTGCTGTTTGCACCAGGCCATAATGAGCCGTCTACACTGACTCTCTTGGTCTTCCTAGAGACCAGGGCTTACAGTGCTGTGTGTGCTGGGCAGGATAGGGACTGGAGAGAAGCTTATTGGCCCAAAGAGGGACTGAACCTGAGGCTTTGGCCAAAGTCCAGAGCTGAGGAACCAGCTGGGGACCTGTTGGTGCAGCATGTCGAGAAAAGGGTGACTGGGCCAGTTGGGGGTTGCCTGCCCCTCAGGCCTCCTCCATCTGCTCCTTTTTCAGTGGCCCTTTTTCCGGTTCCTGTTCTTCCAAGAGCCGGCTTCAGCCATGGCCTCTTTCCTCAATGGCCTGGCCAGCCTGGTGATGCTCTGCCGCTACCGCACCTCCGTGCCAGTCTCCTCCCCAATGTATCACACCTGCGTGGCCTTCGCCTGGGTAGGTAACGTGGCAGAACTCCTGCTGGATACCCTCATCTAGGAAGGAGGAACGCTTAGATCCCCATTAACACCCAACAGGGCTTCTACCCACCCAGCTTCCCCTCTGTTTTCTAGGGCTAAAGTTGCAGCTGGTGGTAGTCAGGACTGGGAAGAAAACAGGGAAGGTGCTGAATCAGGCCTTGCATTTCTAGCAGAGTCCTCGGCCAGGCTGTTTGGGAAGGAGAGAGGGAAGAAATTGCTCATCCTGAAGGAGGAAGCTGCTAAAATACCGGTAGGGCAGTTTACAAACCCAGAAGAGAGATGGCGTTTGTATTAGTCCGTTTCTGTTGCTTATAATAAAATACACAGAACTGGGTAATTTATAAAGAAAATGAAATTTATTGCTTACAGTTTAAGAGAATGGGATGTCCAAAGTCCAGGGAGCACATCTGGTGAAGGCTTTCTTTGGGGGTGGCTTCAGTGATGGCAGGCATCACATTGTGAAAATGATGGAGCAGGGCTGGCCCGGTGGCGCACTCGGTAGAGGGCGGCGCTCCCGCCGAGGGTTCGAATCCCATATAGAGACCGGTCCACTCACTGGTTGAGCGCGGTGCGGGCGCGACACCGAGGGTTGCGATCCCGTTACCGGTCATGAAAAAAGACAAAAAGGAAAAAAAAAATGATGGAGCAGAGAGAGACAGACAGACTCTCCTCTTCTTTTAAAGCCCTCAGAACCACACCCCTGACCACCATTACTAATCCATTCACTACTGCACGGTCGTACAATCCAATCACCTCTTCAAGGCTCCCCCTTTCAATTACTATGGTAATAGGATTTCCCACTCCTCAGAACCACACCCCTGACCACCATTACTAATCCATTCACTACTGCACGGTCCTACAATCCAATCACCTCTTCAAGGCTCCCCCTTTCAATTACTATGGTAATAGGATTTCCCACCCTCTTAACAGTCACACTGAGGACCAAGTTTCTAATATGTAAAACTTGGGGGACACAATTTAAGCTTCATTGAGCTCTGGGGGAACATAATTCAATCCACTACAGTGGTAGAGAGTATGATGAGACTATGGGTCTTTCCAAGGACCTCTCTAGAGGGCGTGGAGTGATCTCAGTACCAGCCCTGGCCTGGTAGGCAGCAGCAGCCCCAGCACTCTGTCTAGAGCTCAGCCTGGTCTTAGGCCATCCTAAGATGTTAACCAGGCGTGTTCTGAGTGTTCAGAAAGGGCTGTCAGCTTCACAGTGTGGCTGGTGTGAGGAGCCAGTATCCAGGGCCTGGACTTGTATGAGAAGGATGGATTGGGGTACAGATATGAACTATGACAATCTTAGGGAGGGTGTGAGAGTACGAGGTTTCAAAGGATGTCTCTAGATAAGAGCTAAGCGTTAAGGAAAAAAATCCCCACTCACCGTCCTGCCATCCAAGTAGCGATGCATTCAGGTATTGATCACCTGTGTGCCAGGCACTTTGCTAGGCACTGCAGATCCAAAGTACATAAAAACAGGGCCTTGCCCTTTGGTACTAATCACACAACCGCACAGTCATGTGTAAAAGTACAACCATGGAAAAGTGCAGTGGAGGAGAGGTGCTGCAGAGGACTGGACCAGCATGGAGCGATCAAGGAAGGCTTCCCCGGGGAGGGGGCATTGGAGGTAGGATGGGGATGATGAGTGAATGTTAACCAGGTAAATCGGAGGAGAGTGGGGGGAGTCTTCTAAAGAAGACCTCTGAGAAGACTCAGAATGTGCATAGGCAGGAGAGTGAGGAACACTGGAGGACCTGAAAGGCCAGGAAGCCTGCCATGCAGGAAGCCAGGTGTGGGGTGTGACATGGGTGAGCAGGTGGGCAGTTGAGAGGGCCAGCCCATGGAGAGCCCAGCACTTTAGGTCTTGACTCTCAAAGCATCAGGAAACACTGAGGGGTTGTAAATGAGGGTTGGAGAGAGAAGTGGTTTCATGAATAGATTTGCCCTTTGGAAAGCTTGTTCTGCCTGCTGCATAGAGAACAGATTGGAAGGGGCAGGAGTGGATGCAGGAGACCAGTTGGTAGTTTTAGCACAGGATCAAGTAACTAGACTAGAGAGGTGGCACAGGTCTTGGGCATAAAAGAAAAATATGTTTGAGCTCTGTTTTGGAGGGGACGTTAAAATTGAAAAAAGAAATTGTTAACTTTATTTAGCAAGCACACAGCTTTTACTGTATGCTAGGCACTGTTCTAAGCATTTTGTAAATATTAACCTTGTTCATCCCATAACAAGTACCAAAAGACAAAGTTACAACAAATTTAGTTAAATATCTAATTGGTTTTTATCTCCAATTCATGAACAGGGCAGCCTTCATTCTACAAAATAGACTGAGAACTGCCAATGGGCTATAACTGGACAGTGCGTTTTGTAAGGTGGGAACAAAGAAACAGAACAATAGGGAAAAACTGACTGGTTAACATCAGGTTACTTCAGGTAACTTTTTTGTAAGAGTTTAAACAGAAGGGACTTCCTCATTTTGCTGACTCCGGTAGACTGGAATCTCCTGTTTTCAAGAAAAGCTGATCTGCTTTGAGATCTGTCTGTGTCAAAGTTTCAGTTGGATTATGTGGCATTTAGCCTGAGTGACTCCATTTTGGTTTGGTCTGGTCTGTTGGGGCCTAGTGCAAGAGATCAGTCCAAAACAATGACCTAACATAATTTTTGTTTAACACAAGCTTATGAGGTAGGTATTATTATTTTTCCCAGTTTACAGATAAGGGAACCCAGGACTGAAAAGTTTAAGTAACCTGCCCAAGTCATGGAGTTAGGGTTTGAATCCAGGCTTCTGGCTTCAGAGTCCACATTCTTACCATTTCAGCCATGCTGATGAGCCTGGGCAGTGAACTAGAGCAGGAGAGGGGAATCAAGGATGCCTGTGTTTCTGCCGAGAAGATGTCAGTAGAATCTGTGGGTGTGGCTGAGATCATATGGGGGACCTTAAGACAGTGAGAAGAAAAGGGGTCTAGGACGGAGCCCTAGGGAACACCAAAACCTAATGGCTGGGTAGAGGAGGATGAGCCAGCAACAGAGACACAACTGGCCAGAGGACAGGTGGAAAACTAGGACATTGTGCACTTGGGGGACCCCAGGGACAAGGACAGCGAGAAGAGAGTAGTGTGCTCTCCTGAATTTTGCTGGACAGTCAATTTAGATGAGAACTAGGGATGCCTGCAGATCTGGTGACCCAGAGGTGTCTGAGGACCTTAGGAAAGCAGGTAGTGCAGGTGTGCTGAGAAGTATGCGGGCACCTCAGGAAGTTCATGGAAAAATAGAATTGAAAGAGAGTAGGAATCTTCCCATGAACTTTTTGAAAACCCCTTGTACAGGCTGAGCCTTTGACTTGGGAGATGGGCACTGGAGGGAGGGCAGGGAAGGAGGCTGTTGGACCTCTGGAAAACAGTGATACTCCATAGTGCTTGCTACTCAACAGCTATTAATAATAATCGTTATGAATTACGGAACATGCACCATGGGACGGGCTTCCCCTAAGCATTTTACATACATTTTCACCTTAATCCTCATAACTTGCCCAAAGTTAACAGCCAACACATTAGCAAGTAGTGGAGACAGGGTTGGCATTCAGGGCCATCCGACATCAGGGCCTGAGGACTGAGCCCCTCTTCAGGGTCAGGACTGAGCCAGGGACCCTGATGTAGGCGGGAACCTGGCATCAGCACACACTGTCACAGGCATAGGTGAGATAGAGCCACCACCTATTGTGCAGGCCTCTCACAAAGAGGGGACTTTGGTCCTGGCTGAAAGCAGGAAGGGCAGGGAAATTGAGGAGCTTACACCTGTCCCCTTTCCTTTGGGATCCGTCCAGGAACACTGCTTGTCTGGGCCCACTGCCCACCCCCTTGCTCCCACTCTTATTAGAGAACAAGGGACAACCCAGCCTGAATTCCCTGAATGAGGTTCAGAACGTCTTCATAGACCCCAGGACTGAGGGGACCTCAGAGGGTCACAGTCATTGCCTTCATGACATGTGCCAGAGGCCAGTGGTCACTTCACAAGTCTGGTATCTCTCTTTTTTATTTGGGTGGCTGGCCAGTATGGGGATCCGAACTCCTGACCTTGGTGTTACAAGGTTGCACTCTAACCAACTGAGCTAATCGGCCAGCCTCACAACTCTGGTCTTGATCTCCCTGATTCTTGGATCTTTCATCTCAGTGGTGTCTGCAACTAGCTTCCTTCTTCACCAGGGGTCACACCTCCCGGGGGTATCCTGCACTCCAGTGTGACCAAAGACCCTTAGGGAAGGAGCAGGAGATATTGGGGTGGGAGACAGCAGATAGCTGGGGCCTGTGTCTCAGGGCACCCTACAGAAGAGGGGGTTCTGGGACATGTGACCCCCTTGTGCCACCACTAGGCCCTCAAGGGACAGAGCTCAGAGCCCCCCCTCCCTTTGATGATCTAGTTTGGATTTTACACTTGATCTTCAGTCCTGTGTGTGTGTGTGTCTGCAAAAGGGAGGGATCCTGAGCTTGGGAGGCAGTGTGGCAGTGGACTTTGCTTGGGCTGGGTCTTCTGGAGCAAGTGAGATTTCTGATTTCTATTGGGTTGGGGGTGGGAAGGCCCCTCACCGCTCCAGGTCTTTGGGAAGGGGTGTCTCAGTCTTTTTCTCTGGGAAGTGAGAAGACCCTGCCCCCCAGCAGGGCTAATGAAGCCTTGGCACGAGAAGGCAGCCCTGCTTTGCCACTGAGGCCTGGCCTTGGGCGGGGCAGCAGCCAGGCAGGGCTCAGGAGCCTGCTACGGCTCCACACACCCGGGCCCTTGGACTTCATGGAGCAGGGGGCCCTGCTCTCTGCCAAAGCTGAGAGGCCAAAGCAACTCCCCACCCTTCCATCTGGTAGGGAATGTCCTCAAGTGTCGAAATGAGGGGGCAAGGTGGCCGGGAAGCCCAAACCGTGTCTGTAGGGTGATTTATGGACTGACTGTGTTCCATCTCTGTTGAGGAAGTTACAGGAAGAGGCAGGTCAGGGCTGCAGCAGCACGGTGGGCAGACTTCAGGAAGGACTTCCCAACAGTCAGACAGGAGCCCGCAGAACAGGCAATGGCAGGAAATCAAGGAATCCTTTTGTTGTTGTCGTCGGTAGCTGGCTAGTAAGGGGATCCAAACCCTTGACCTTGGTGTAAGGAATCCTCTTAGGTGATTGGACAAAGCCCCCCTTCTCTCAGGAGTGAACTGAGCAGGCTGGTCCTGCCCGAGGCAGCAGGGGGTGAGACACCATGGCCGGGGCGGGGGGTTGGGTAGGATGGCAGCAGGCGTCATAGTTAACATTCTGCCTCCCCCACTTCTGAGACACCGAGCTATTTAAAGACCCACTTGTCCCCAGTGCCATGGTGTCAATGACAGCCCCGAGCACTGGGGCTTAGCACTGGGGTCGAATTCCTGACAGATCTGGCTCACTTGGCATCCAACCAGTTTCACGGCTGTGATATTTTTGTCTCAGTTTTCTTATTTTCCAGCAGACTGAAACAGCCTCCTGCTTCCCCCACCACCAGCCTCCCCTGTCTCCCTCCAGCGCCCGCCGTTGGCACCCTGCCCCTGGCCGGCCCTTTCCTCAGTGTTTACAGGCCAGGCGCTGGCCCTCCTGGCCACTTAGCCTACCTGCCCTCTCCTTCCACTCGAGCGGGGCTGAGGTGTCTGGGAGCGGGCGTGCATATGTGTCCTGGGGCTTCTCTTCCTTCCATGTCTGTCTATCCACCCCCTTTGCTTGTGTCTTGATTACAAACTCTGAGCGAGGAGAAATCGTATCTGTTCAGTCCATGGTGGTGGGATAGTGGCTCAGGAGCACGGAGGAGGGGGCTCTTCCTGTAGCTCAGGTGTCTACATTCTGGGGTCCAGAGACCCTAGCACCCCTTAGTTTGACCTTGAACTTTGTGACCCTTGGGGAAAGGGAAGTTGGGGGTCAGGTGAAGGGAAGTGGTAGGGATGAGCCTACTGGACATGATGAAGGAAGCTGACATTTATGGGGCACCTACTGTGTACCAGGCAGCGATAACAGCAGTCGTTTATCAAGTGGCTCCTTTGTGTTGAGCATTTCATGGCTATCACCGCATGAGCCTCCTGTGCAGGGGGTGCTGTTATGAGCCCTGTTTGGTAGGTGAGGCAGCTGGGCTCACAGAAGCTGTTTGTTCAGTAACACACAGCTATTTAGGGGCCCAGGCTGGACTTGAACACAGGGCCAGTCTCATTGTGGAGACTCTGGACCTTCTGCCTGCAGCCTGGAACTGTGGAGGTGGGCCTCGGCAGCTGTGGGGAGACCACCCCTTCTGTGTCTAGACTTCCTTGGTCTGCAGGCAGACTTGGCCTCTTTGGCCTCAGGTCTGTGGAGAGCTGTGAGCGTTCCATGCTGTCAGCAAGGTGGAGAGAAGTAACTCCCAGTGGTTCACCCTGTCCTGGGCACTGTGCCGTGCACTGGATTTGTGTTGCTCATTACGTCCTTATCAACACTATGATTATTCCCATTTTACAGATGAGGAAACTGAGGCACAGCAAGCCTAAATAACTTGCCCAAGGACACCCAGGAAATGCAGAGCCGGGATTTGAACCCTGGCAGTCTGGCTCTAGGGCCTGCATTCTTAATGATGCCACATCCCAAGTCTGAGGAAAGGGTCAGAAGAGGACTCCCCCACCCCCATAATGGGACACTCCTCAGGGGAGAGGGGACTTTTCAGGGGTGCAGAGTCCAGGCTTCAGGTGGGTCTCTGTAAGTGGAAGGCACCCTGGGAAGGTGGTTGGACTAGGCTGGGGAGCAGCCCTACCCTGTCCAGTAGAGCTAAAGCCGGGCCCCGTGCACCGCCCAATCCTCCCACCCCCACCCCACTGCAGCTTTCGGTGTTACAACTGCCACTTAGCTCAGTCCTGTTGTCACCTCCCCTTCCTGCTATAGGTGACAAGGAGCCCTGGCTGGCTGCCAGTTCCTGCTGCGTTCCCCTCCTCCCTCCCACACTGGCTCCAGGGCCACTCTCCTTCCTAAGGATGTCCCTGTTCCTGGCCTGCTTGGGATACCTGGTCCACATGATCGCTACTAGGGCCCTTCTCCAGCCCTGAGCCTGCTCCTCTCCCCACATTGACCCCAAGCTTCACGGGACTGTCTCTGGGGAAGGGGCAGCAGTGAGGAGGAGCCTTGAGGTGGGTGGAAGGGACAGAATGGCCATCCTCAAAGGAGGAAGCAATCCGACCTGCAAGAAATCACCTGACCTCAGGGCAGGAGGGGACTGCAGGCTGGCTTAGGAGAAGCTTGGACTGAGGCAGGCAGGGCCTTTGCCCAGGTCGAGAAGAGCAGAAGCAGCCAGGCTCAGGTGAGGGCCCGGCCAGACAGGCTGCACCAGGCTGCCCTGAACCTTCCAGAGCTTGGCACCATGAGAGTGCCTGGCTGGCTTTGCAACAGAGCCCTGCCCTGCCTCCACCCTGCTCTTCCCGTTTCCCCCTAAGCTCCCTGGGCCTGCCTGAGGGAATTCATCCTACTGTCTGACCCTCCTGCTGCAGTCCTCAACACAGTGTCCTCTTGCCAGTTCTCTCTGTCCCCTGCCTGGCCAGTTTTCCTAGTCTGCTGGACCTGAGTGAGCAGCTCCTGGCCTTGACCCATCTCTGGCAGGCTCATCCCACCCTAGCGCACCCCTCCCCACCTCCAGGGCATTCCAGGCCTGTGTCTTCCTTGGACTGGTTGTTACTGGTTTCCCAGCCTGGGGTTTGCACCTCCACCCCAGCCACCCTTCCTTAGGTAATTTGGGCTTCTGCTGTGGACACATCAGTCCCTGGAAAGAGTGCCAGAACCAACTCCCACAAGCTCTGGGTCTCATTTGCAAGATGATTTCTACTCTCTCCGTGCAGCTAATTCCCAGGAGGAAGGCCTCAAATGTTGCCCTGGGCCCTTGCACACCACAGCCCCTCCAGTCCTGCCCCTCTGCCCCTCCACCCCTCCCCAGGCTCTGGAGCAGCCACTGGTCTGGCAGGTTGGGCCGGCGCAGCCAGGAGGAAGCCAGCTCGGTTGGCCACCCTCCTCCTGGGAGACCCGGCCCCAGTGGGATCTGCTTGATCTCCCTCCCTTGCTTGCTTGCCGGGAACACACCCCAAGCTGGCTTGGGCCCCTCCACCCCACCCACCTCATTCCCGCCCCCAGAGGCTGAGGTCACTGGCTCCCCTGGGCCCGGGTGGGGCTGTCATCACCTGCCGTTTGGGGGAGGAGGCAAGGCCCTGGGGCTGTTGTCTTAGCGATTGAGTAACCAGGGTTACTCTGCCGGAACTGGTTCCCAGGCCAGGCCGGAACCTGTGCAGGCTGCAGCCCCCCTGGCCTTGGGGGTTTGGGTTGGCAGGAAGTTGACCTGAGGGAACTGGGCTGGGTGAGGGTGGACACCGGGGTTTAGAGGGCTCCCAGGGTGAGGGAAAGCACATTTCTCGCCCCGCAGGGCTTCTTCCCAAAGGCGAGGTGCCTATGGGCCCTCCGTGGGGTCTCCCCAGCCTTGGGGTAGCATGCTCACAGCCCCCTCCTCCTCAGGTGTCCCTCAATGCTTGGTTCTGGTCCACAGTCTTCCACACCAGGGACACTGACCTCACAGAGGTGAGTGCCTCTCCACTCCCCATCCTGCATGGGACTGTCCTGGAGGAGCCCAGGAGGGGTGGGCTTTAAGGTGGAATGCTCGCTCAGTCGGAGGAGCCCTGGCTGTGTGCTAGCATAGTAAACCTACAGTGCACTGGGGCCTCACTTGAACCTGGCGGGGTAGGAACGAGTCGTAGCTCTTTCCAACTGATGAGGCAGCTGAGCCTTGGAGAGCTGAAACCACTTGCTCCGGGTCACCCACCTCGTAAAGGGGTGCAGTCAGGACTTGAGGCCAGAGCTGTGGAACTCCAGGCTGCGCCCTTGTGTTCTGGATCCTCCACCAATGCCTCTGAAGCCTCACTGCTGAGCACATTTTTAGAATTGTATACTGTGAACACGAGAATGAAACAGCAATAGGCAGAAGGAGCACGAGACAGAGTCCCTGCTGACTGCAGGCCCAGGACCCCCATCCCTTCCCTGCTCCTACCCCTGGGGTCCTCCCTGGGCTCTGACCTACATGAAGTCCTGTCCATCTCCTGTTTCCCTCATGTTGGCCCCTCATTGGCTCTCCCTGTCCTCAGAAAATGGACTACTTCTGTGCCTCCACCGTCATCCTACACTCGATCTATTTGTGCTGTGTCAGGTGAGCCTGCCTTGGTGGCTGTGGGACAAAATCAGGCCCTAGGGACGGGAAGGGGTCACCCAACCCTCCCCTGGGGGTGCTGCCCTCGGGGCCTTCTTCGCTGGTCTCCCAACACACACACACCCTCCAGGCTGTCCTGGGTGGGGACTATGGGGTAGGATGGGGGTCCCTGGCTCCTTACAAGGGGCTGTAGCATGGGGTCCCAGGCCCCTGGGGGGTTTGGAGGCCTGCCCAGCTGGCCTGTTTTGGTGAGGGACAGGGACAGTGGCATCAGGGACCGCAGACTGATGTGGCAGGGGAGGAGATGCTTCAGGGAATGCTGCCCCGGGGCTGAGCTACCACCTCTGAGCAGCTGTGGACTGCGGGACAGGACTGTGGGGCTGCAGCGGCCGGCCGTGGCCAGCGCCTTCCGGGCCCTCCTGCTGCTGCTCCTGGCTGCACACATCTCCTACCTGAGCCTCGTCCACTTCGATTACGGCTACAACCTGGCAGCCAACGTGGCAATTGGTGAGGCAGGACTTAGGCCCGGGGGACTGGGCCACCTGGAGAACTGCTGGGTGGGGGGCTGGTGCATTCCTGGAGAAGGAGGTTCTAGAGACCCTTTGGGCTGGGGGGGGAGGCAAGAATTTGAAATGGGAGAGAAGGGAGGCCCAGAGAAAAGTCTGAGGATGGTCCTGGGGTCCAAGGGATGAGGGCAGGGGTGGCCTTGGGGAGGGAGGAGGAGTCTAAGGAGTGAGCCTCTCCTGCCCCCACTGGCACCCAGGCCTGGTGAACTTGGTGTGGTGGCTGGCCTGGTGCCTGCGGAACCAGCGACGCCTGCCGCATGTGCGCAAGTGTGTGGCAGTGGTCTTGCTGCTGCAGGGGCTGTCCCTGCTGGAGCTGCTCGACTTCCCGCCTTTCTTCTGGGTCCTGGATGCCCACGCCATCTGGCACATCAGCACCATCCCCGTCCACATCCTCTTTTTCAGGTTGGTGCTACACCCTGCCTGCTGTTCACCCTCTTTGTACGCTGCCTTGCCCGCTCCCTGGGGGAGACTGGGGGCTCTACGTGCCTGTGCACCCCCTCACGACCTGCCCATGTTCACCCCATCCTGCCCCCAAGGCAGCTCTCAGAGCCTTGTGCCTCAGTGGGCTCCTCCCTTTACCCACAGCTTTCTGGAAGACGACAGCCTGTACCTGCTGAAGGAATCCGAGGCCAAGTTCAAGCTGGACTGAAGCCCCTGGGAGTGGGGCTGCCCCACTGGGGATCCTGCCCCCTCCCGGCCGGTTCCCCTTCTCCCCTCAACCCTTGAGATGATTTATTTCTCCTTTTAGCTTCTTGAACTTGGACATGAGGGATGTGGGCTCAGAATCATGGAGCCAGCCCATCTCCCTGCTGGCCCTCACAGGTCTTGGAACCTGTTCTGGGGATGGCCTCTCGCCATCTGGGACTATACAATGGGCAGCCCCTGTGGTTCCTGGAGCTGAACTGGGGTGGAACTGAGTGTGTTCCTAGTTTCCTCCCCACCAGCCTCCTCTCCACATCCCCCCGCCCCACCCAGCTGGGTCCCAGAGCTCTCTGTCAACCTGGGAGACCAGGAACCATAGGCCTTTGAGGATACTGTGGGGTTCCCTATGGTTACGCTCCTACCCTCCTCCAGGGCACCACTAGGTGGCACTGGAGGCTTGTTCTTTGGCTACCCAAGCTTTAAGGCCATTCTCATGCTCCGCCATGGGATCTCGAGGGACCAAATCATTGACTGGGACTGGGGAGGGTTTTCACCCTGACTGTGGCCCCACTCAGACTGCCAGGAGGCCTCAGCACACTCCCCTTCAGGTCCAGGACCTGACAGCCAGGGCAAGAATCCTGTGCTGCTGTTCTGGTGGGGATCCTGCACACAAGTGTGTAGGGGCGTGTGGGCCAGACCCAGTGCGTAGGTGACCAGGCAGTGAGCTCGGGCCTGGGCGCGCAGTGTGGATAGTGGCGTGTGTGAGTGTGTGTGTGTTTTTTATTTTTTATTTTTGGCGCCTGGCTGGTACAGGGATCCAAACCCTTAACCTTGGTCTTATCAGCACCATGCTCCAACCAAGTGGGCTAACCGGACAGCCCCTGTGTGGTTTAAAAGTGTGTTCAGGGGGCAAGTGGGTTAGCGTGAGTCAGGAATATGCACAGTGTGTGCCTGCTTGTGGGTGCGTGTCTGAGATGTGTGTGAATGCAGGTGAGTGTGCCATGCAGTGCCACACAGTGCAGGGAGGCCGGAGCAGGATGAGGGAATCCTGTCACCATCAACAATCACTTATCGAGCACCAGCTCTGCCCAAGGCTCCAGCCAGGCAGGCATCCAGGACACCCCTGTGATCTGGCGGGGGGCCTGGGCTGCATGTGTGTGTATGTGTTTCTGTCTGTGCCCCTCTGCCTTCCCCTCCAAACCTCACAGGGCCCCCACACGACAGCACCCTCTAGAACCAGTCCCTTGAGGGCAGAGGAAGGAAGGAAAATGGGGATCCCCAGGGCCCTCTCTAGCCTCCCTGCCTCCTTGCCTAGGCATGCTTGCCAATCCTCCCCACCCCCCACCCCAGTTCCCTGCTTCTAGCCCCTTGTCCTCAGCCTGGGAAGGGGTCGGGGCACTCTGTGGGAGGATGAGGGGAGAAAGCTTGTGGCTGGGTCTGGTTTCTGCCCTCCCCAGAGGGGCTCACTGTTCCAGGGTGGCCCCAGGGCAGGCAGGGGCCACAGCAGCCCTGGCACATTCCTGTCCCCACGAGGACAGATGTGGAGCTCCAGAAAGTTTCCATCCCCAAGGCAGTCTCTGATTGAAGCAAGGAGACTGGAGTTGTGCTGTGTCCCTGCCCTCTTGTCCCTCCCTGGGGGGAGGGGAGCTATGCGAGGACTCCAGCCTCAGGGACTTGGGGGGGCCTACACTGGATTCCTTTGATACCAAGAACCATTTTAAGGCGGGAGGGTAGCAAGGGACCTGCTTAATAAACCAATTCTAGCCTCACCTACCCTTGTTCTGCTCATTTGTGTGAGTGGGGTGGACTGGAGGGGAGGAGGAGACAGTTGGGGCAGGGGCAGGACCCAGAGCTGGCTGGAGGCAGTAGCCAGAGGCGGTGGTCTCTACCTGGGCACATGGGGGGAGGATGGCAGGGACCAGAGGCAGAGATGGGGGCTCCAGTCAAGCTTCCAGCAGGTGGGGGCGGGGGCAGGCGCTGGTGCCAGTTCTTTCCATCTCACCTCCCGGGCCTTCGTTTGTGCCTGCATTGTAACACCCCCCTCTGGCACCTTGCAAATTCCACTTCAGTCTCCTAATTGCCCCCTGCTCTCCTCACTTGTGGTCTGAACCAGGCTCCACTGCTATTTGTTACTTAACCTCTCTGAGCTTCACCTGGAAAGGGGCTAACAGGGCCTGCTGCTGAGTGCAAGGACGCAAAGCAGGTGCTGAATGAGCCCCTCCTGACCTTGGCCTGCCTTAGTTTGGGAGGAATGAGTGGTACAGGCAGCTACCCTCATGGGGCCTCCCACATCCCTACACTCAGAAGAGATCTCTGGGCCCTTGGGGGAGTCACAGACAGCGCTGATGCTCAGCAGTGGGAAATGATTTCTTTATTAGGTGCCACCACAAGTAACAGGGAATATGGGTTGGTGAGGGCCACAGGGCACCGGGCAGCGCACTGAGCCCTCACAACCCCGCCCCTATCTTCTTCTGGGCCCAGGCAAAGAAGATGCCCTTGACATCGTCAACGCCTGTCTGAAGGTGGGCAGGCATGACGTAGGTGCGAAGGTCCCGGACCTCATAGCCACTATGCACCAGGGCCTCCCTCACCTCCCCTTCACACACTGGCACCACCGCCAGCCTGGCCTCCCCAGCCAGGTACCACGACTCCTCTAGGGCCCCAATGAGGAGGAGGTGCCCCCCAGGCCTGAGCAGTGTGGTGATGTGGTCCAGGGCCCGCTGGAAGCTGGCAAGGTCTGGGCTCACAGCCTCCAGGCAGAAGGCAGAGACCAGGGCGTCGGCAGGCAGGGGCACCAGGCTCCCAGTGCCCAGGGGCTGGGGCTGGTGTACATCGACTGGCAGGACACGCTTCACCCTGGCTCGCAGCTGACGTTCCTTCTCCTGCCAGGATTCCCTATGCAGGGGTCACAAGGCAGGGCTCAGGACTGCCCCACGCTCAGTCCTCTGTCACCCCCCCCCCCAGCCACTCTGTGGGAAGCCCCCTGCCCAGCCCTCACCCCTTGCCCTCAATGAGGCAGACATGCTGGCTGTACACGCTCCAGTTGAAGGCCCCGGGCTTTTCCTGCAGCCACAGCCCCAGCTCCTGGCGGTTGACCTCCAGGAAATCTGTCATCGTGATGTCCTCAAAGTGGGCACAGGCGCTGAGCAGCTGGTATATGGTGGGGCCCGAACCAATGTCGATGAGGGTGCGTCCAGACACCTCACCTGGGCAGAGCGGAGGAAGGGGGTCCCGGTGTCAGGCCTGCCCGGGCCGCTCCTGCCGTGGCCACCGCCTCCCTCCCTCCCTCTCTCTAGCTCCTTCTCGCTCTATGTGTGTCTCTATCTGGAAGAAGCACTGGCTCTGGAGTTAGACTGAACCCGGCGGAATCCTGGCGCCCACAGCCACCGACTTACCCCGGAGGAATGTCACCCCCGGTTCCACAACTAGAAAACTCTACGTGCCCGTGAGTGAGGACTGAGTGTGGGAGTCCTGGGGCCGGCCCTCCCCCCGCTCCAGTCGCTGCCTCCGTTTCTCTCTCCGCGTCTCTCATCTCAGTCCCTCTCCCGCAGGCCCCGCCCACCTCTCAGTTCTGAACGTTCTCCCGGCTCAGCCTCTTCCCACCTGCCTCTGCGCTCGCCTGCGGGACGGTGCTCGTCTCCTCCTTCTCCCCGACGTGCACCTCTTAGCTGCCTGGCTCACGTCGTGTGTGTGTGTGTGTCTGTCTGTCGGTCTGTCTGTCTATCGGTCACTCTGTGTCTCCGCACCTCTGTCGCCCCTTTCACTACGTGTGTGTGTCTGTCTGTCTGTCTGTCTGTGTCTGTCTATCGGTCACTCTGTGTCTCCGCACCTCTGTCGCCCCTTTCACTACGTGTGTGTGTGTGTGTGTCTGTCTGTCTGTCTCTGTCTGTCTATCGGTCACTCTGTGTCTCCGCACCTCTGTCGCCCCTTTCACTACCTGTGTGTGTCTGTCTGTCTGTCTGTGTCTGTCTATCGGTCACTCTGTGTCTCCGCACCTCTGTCGCCCCTTTCACTACGTGTGTGTGTGTGTCTGTCTGTCTGTGTCTGTGTCTATCGGTCACTCTGTGTCTCCGCACCTCTCTCGTCCCTTTCACTACCTGTGTGTGTGTGTCTGTCTGTCTGTGTCTGTGTCTATCGGTCACTCTGTGTCTCCGCACCTCTCTCGTCCCTTTCACTACCTGTGTGTGTGT